TGCCGCTATGGCTTAATTATTTATGTTACGTACATTGGCCGACAATTTCTTAATTAATAAAAAAGGCTAAATGTTGAGATATTCATAAAAGATGTACGGTAGTTGTACGATACATGTATTACGAGAAGTATGGACCAGTATGGACCTGTAATTCACGGATATATGGAACTACCGATTTCCCTCATTGATGCCTCAACAGGGGGCGGAGCGTTACAAATGTATACATGATATTTACAATAATTTACAATAATTTTCTTGATGCACATTTAGCAATTATTTACATATATTTATATGAACATACAGAAGCACAAATTCAATATGATTACTGAAGTTCTAAAGTTCTTTATAATATTCATTAACACACTTATGATTTGGTTTCACACCATTGTTAAATAATTTCGATTTGATACACTGTCAGTTGTTCACGATAACACAATAGTTCTGGAATACTTCGACTGCTGTAATTGTTAGTTTCTGTGGAGTGCAAATTTTATTAGTACATGACTTACATACACCGTTTTACATGTGACCAATTGTATGTAGACTTAAGTAAAATTAAAGTTTATTAAATTCAAATGTAATCTATACAGTATGCCTGAAAGTTATCCATTCTTTAAAGTTGCACTGTTCAAGCAGCAATTTAAGGGTTTAAGCCCGGCTACTGTATAACTCACAAGTGCTCTAACTTAAGAATGGGTTACCTTTAAAACTCCCGAAAAAATAATTCTTTATTACATCAACATAGGTGGAATATTTCCCAAAAGAAAAAAAATATATCCAGAAGAAAGCATTTATGATACTTATTTAGTCAATTATTGTTTTAGCTAATGTCAGATATGATAAAGGTTGGGTTGATTAAATATGTTTGCAACCATATTAATCTTAGCACTATAAAACACCTAAGAATAGGTTAATAAAATACCTTTAAAATATCTAAGATCAGTCCACCTTATGAAGAGTCCCTTTATTTCTTACAATTCCTAACAATTTTGTATTCTTTAATTTAATACATGTTAGCTGGTATGTTTACAGAACAGATTTTTCATAATTCATCTTTAAATCTGCTAGAAACTGGTAATAACATCCTGGTGGGACTTTATCAAGATTTTTCCACTGTGGTACTATGTTTGGATTTTCAAAATTTACTAAGCACTCTATTTCATCATTTTGGTTAATTGATATTTCACTTATGTTGTTTGTCCAAGTTGACAAGTAAAAGCCCTTGTGTAGTTCATGTAAGGTACCATTGTATTTTCTTTTTATATGCTCTAATTTGATTTCTAATTGTTTCCTTTTTGTCCAGTCTTCTAATTCAACTATAAACTTTCTTACTAAATAATATGCTGTATATATGGTTTGAATTTCAGGTGTTTCATTGCCTTTTTGAACCAGGAAATAGTGGACTCCATAGATGATTTTAATTCCCACAAGTCTTTTGTTTTCTTTATCATTTTTATCTTTTGCTAATGAATTTATATTTGTTTGAGTTTCTGTTGATTCTTTAAAAAATTTGTGGCCTTGTTGAAGAGGTTTCTTTCTTCGTTTACCTGACATGGTTTTGTTTGCGTGGAATTCTCTGATTAATTGATTTGGAATTTTACAATCATAGTGCCATTCAGTGCTGTTGTTATTGAACTTAATTTTATAGTACAGTGCTCCATTGCTACGGTTTGATGATAGTATTGCTTTAATGTCTTCTACTTTGAAGGGTTTACATATTCCTTTTCTGCATTCTATGCATTTCGATTTTATTTCTGATTTCTGGTTTACAGCATTATGTAAATTTTGTTTTTGCGCTTCATGTTTGTTCTGACTTTGGTTCATTATCTCTGACTTCTTATTTGATATGTCTGATCTAATTGTCACATTTTTCTGTTCATGGTTTGATTTATCATTCACATCTAGTCTTCTACTTTGTGTTTGGCATTTGTTTCTATTATCATTTATTTGCTTCTTCTGTGCTTCATTCTTATTTCTATGCATGCTATGTTTTTCTTTATTTGGCTTTTGTCTTTCACTATCTTCCTTTCTTGTATCCTTTTTGGCTTCTTGTCTCTGCTGATTTGTATCTCTACTTGTTTGCTTTTCTACATTACTTTTCTTTGGTATATCATTTTCCTTTCTTTTATTCTTACTATTTCTGTTGGCATCTTGCCGTGGTGCAGTCTCAGTTCCTTTTGTTCTAACTCTGTTACTATTGTTATTTCCTCTTGATTGCTTACTTCTTTCATTATTTACAACTTGAGTTTGCCTATCATTTTGCCTATTTCTTACATTATTCTGGCTACTTTCATTACTTCTTACATTTGTATCATTTTGTCTTGTTATCCCATTCGAAGGGTTCACATCATGAATCTCCTCTGGATCTAGCTCATCTTCTTGATTCTCGAGTTCTGTTGGTGGATTGGTTGGTCTGTCATCAGGGTCAAAGTATGGTTTCAGTCTCATTGCATTCACCAATGATTTAACTTCTTTGTTGGTCTTCGCATGTCGTAATCTGTAGGTTTAGTTTGGTCCAATCATAGTAATGTAATATGGTCCAACCCATTTTCTATGTAATTTTGGTGCTTTCCCAGGTGGAACTTTAGTACAATACAACCAAACTCTCTCAGCAGGTCTATATTCTGGAGCTTTGCTGTATTTATCATGTTGGAATTTGTACTTTTCTTGGGCTCGCTGAATATTTTCGTTTGCTAATTTCCTACAGATTTCCAAATTTTGAAGTATTTTGCCCAGATGTACCTTGTAACTTTGTGGCAGATGATCCTTAGGCTGCAGCACTGTGTCAATCGGTAACCGCATTTCCCTACCATATAGGAGAAAGAATGGGCTAAAGTCTGTTGACTGTGTTGCTGGCGTAGATCTGTAAGCCATCATTATTCCAGGTAAAAGGTCTGTCCAATCATCTTGTTGATCCTTACAATAAGCTCTGAAGGCTTGAAGAATGTAGGAGTTCTTGGACTCAACCAATCCATTTGTCATTGGATGATAAGCACTTGTAAAGGTTTGCTTGATGTTAAATAGCTCTGATAAAGCCTTTACAAGGTTTGACATGAAGTTCTTTCCTCGGTCACTAAGTAGTACTCTTGGTGCACCATATCTTGAGATGATTTCCCTAAACAGTACACTTGCAACTTCTTCACATGTTTGTGTTCGTAGAGGGAAACATTCTGCCCATTTAGAATAACTGTCGACTACTAGCAATATATGTAGGGTTGGATATCGTTCTTCACGAAACGGTCCGATACCGATACCGGTACTGACGAAACGATACGGGTATTTTATCGATACTGATACTTTTACAATACCACATCAAACCCTTTGCTGCAAGTATAAGAACTGAAGAGATATAACATGTAGTGCTAGAAAATAAATATGTTACATTACTGGTCTTTCTGAAATTTCATGCTGTAAAGTATACTTTTCTCAAGTTCCATGTTTTGTTGTTTTGTGTTTACTCTTTTTTACAACATTTACACATGTTAATTGTAAAATACTTTTACTTTTTCATCAAAAGAACATGACATAATTTATTATATTTTATACACAGAAAAAAATCTTATGCAGGACAGCAGTCTGCAGCTGAGAAGTCTACAAATTATTGTTTTAATCTTGATTTCTCTAAATCTGAAAGAATTTAAGATAGTTGGTTATCTATTATTTTCTTACAGCTATTATTATAACTGTGTAGAAATTTTATTCTGATGCTGATATTCTTGTTTAAACCACATTATTGTTTACTGTAATAAATGAAATCACTGGATTGGTTGGCTAACTTTGCAATTTGGAATTACATGTAAGAAATTTCATTAGATGCTTTTTCAAAGTCACTTATGTTTCCAGGCTGTTATACTACAACAGCACAAACATATTTTCCACCAGTAATTAACTTAGAAATTTGGAAAAACATGTATATGCACAGACTGTTTCCAAAATGACTTGTTTACATTTTCATGGTAACCTAATATAAGTCCTTGTAAAAGTCATAAAGCAAATACCTATGCTTTACAAAAAATAAGAATTTGGTATTTATTAATATTGAATTTACATTTCAATTTTATACATCATTTATTTTTCAATAGCACGCACCGTGAACATCTTGCTACAGAAAAAAAGGGTATTGTCCTCACCAAATTGCATAATTCCATACTGCTCAAATACGCAAAAATACTAGCCAACATTTGCAAAAAATCCTACAAAACACTATATGAAATATGTTTCAGTGATCTAAATGTGTAATACACACAAGTTGACCTTTGACAGGTGCATAATAGGCTATTCAAAAGAATATGCCTCCCTTTGATGTTGTTACTCTATCACCATCAAAGAGCCGCCGACATTCACACTTTTTGACTGAAGTGTCAGCATTCTTTTGTTAAGAAAATGTATACATGTTTAATAACAGTTCAGTGTTACACCAACAATAAAAGGAGGCATATTTTGTTGGAATTATTTCGGCCTGATTTATGTTCAAATCGTAATTCACGTGTAGATTTGTACATGTGGTAATGGAAGAAAAGAACCTGGAATCATTAAATATTTATTCATTATGAGTGTTTAGAAACTTAAACTGAAAAAAGGATTTAATTATTTTTTAAAAGCATTGTTTGAATAAACAATTGTCATATGTTGGATTTAATTGTCATTACGGCAAAAGCTGTGTGCGATGTGTTTGGAACAGAGACATATAAATGTATTTATATGTCTCTGGTTTGGAAGGACTGTGTGCGATGTGCCGATGATTACTCAAGTATTTGATTTGTTTTCTCCTTGTTTCTTTGACATTTAAAACTTACAAACTTTTACCAAAATCAGTTTAAATAATTATTTTTTCCTGCCGAGTAAAAAATATTATTATCTTGAACATAAGCGGCACAAGACTTTTACAAAAATATCGCCGCGTCACAAACTTCAACTTTGCCGCGAAAGCCGTACTCGCCGCATGATAATAGTAGGTCATAGTTTGTTTTACGTGTTTGTAGGCTGTTTTTATTTAAAAATCTTCTTATTTTTTTGACATATTGACTATTAAATTATTTTTTACAAAAGTATCAAATCCAGTACCGGTATTTTACGAAACGGTATATACCGGTAATTTACGAAGTTACTATTCGGTATAGGACCGATACCGGGAACCGGTGTCCAACCCTAAATATATGTTTATATTTGTCCTTTGTGGTAGGAAGCCCACTCAGGATGTCCATCTGCCATCTACTGAAAACATCATCAACAGGTTGTGGTTGTAATGGAGGAGGTTTGGAGTTGAAAGCTCTTTTTGACTGTTGACATACTTCACAAGTCTTAACATACTGTCTTATGTTCTCATACATTGAAGGCCAGTAGTATTTGTTACGAAGTGATGCATATGTCCTTTCAAATCCTTGATGACCGCCTCCTGCAATACAGTCATGATACTGTTTCAGTACATCATCTCGTAAAGTTCTAGGAATGGCGATCTGCTTGACAAGGCGTTCCTCTGGCAACACTTGTTTTCCACGTCTGGAGTAAAAGTGATGTAGGATCTTGTCGACCAGTTCATAATTGTAGGATTCTGCAACTACTGTTCTGGCTTTTTGCTGATCTTCCGGAACTTTACGATTGGCAAGATAGTTGTATATGTCTTTGAAGTCGGGACATTCACGTTGATGCTTAGCTAAGTCTTTGAATGTCCCTTCTTCAGGATCCATGGCTTGTTCTGATGTAAGAGCTGCTATAATTGTCTCTTCATCTTCACCAGGGTACACAAGTGTCACGCCTGTGTATTCTTTGTTTTCCTCATGTAGTGAGCCAATGTGGTCGGCTAAGTCACTAGAGGCTGCTTGTGTTGAATCTTGGAAACGTTGTCTTGATAAGAAATCGGCATTGCAATTTGTTGAACCTGATCGGTGGAGGATATCGAATTGGTAACCTTGAAGAAGAATACTCCAACGGCCTAGGCGACCTTGACAGTCCTTGATTTTCTGAAGATATTTTACAGAGACGTTGTCAGTGTACACCGTAAATTTCCGTCCAGCAAGGTAGTGTCTAAAATGTTGTATTCCTTCAACAAGAGCCAGTCCTTCCTTATCCGTAATATGCCACCGTAGTTCATTGTCGTGCAGGGCTCTTCCTCCGAAGCAGATTGGATGTTCCTTCCCATCATGCATCTGGGAGAGTACATATCCAATTGAATAATCTGACGAGTCTACCGCGAGAATAAAATCTTTGTTGAAGTCTGGGTATCTTAATATAGGTGCTGATATTAGTTTCTGTTTTAATAATTGAAAGGCATTTTCACATTCTTCAGTCCAATTAAATTTCACATCTTTCTTTAATAAATTTGTCAGAGGTTTAGCTATTTTGGCATAGTTCATCACAAATTTTCTGTAATATCCAAATATTCCTAATGTTTGTTTCACTTGTTTAGCATTCTTAGGTCTAGTTGCATTCTTGATTTTATCTGTATTTTCAGGTAGCACTTTCATTCCATCTTTTGTAACAATATGTCCTAAATATTTCACTGATTTAGTTCCAAATTTGCACTTTTTGGGATGTAATTTTAAATTTGCTGATCTTAAACTATTGAAAACTAGATCTAAATGGTGTAAATGTTCATCAAAGTCATGTGAAAATACCAAAACATCATCAATGTAGACAAGAGCAATTTTGAAGTTCAGGTTGCGAAGCACTTTAGTCATGAGACTTTGGAATGTCATTGGAGCATTTACCAGTCCGAAGCTGAGCCTATTGAATTGATAAATTCCCTGGTCTGTAATGAAAGCACTCTTATGTTTGGTTGACTTGTGTAGTGGTACCTGCCAAAATCCTGAACGTAAATCTAGTGTAGAGTACATGGAGGCTTTGGCATCTGCAAGGGTATCAAATACATCAGTCATGTGCGGAATGGGAAATGACACTGGTTCGGTTACTGCATTCAGCTTTCGGTAATCCACAGCAAAACGCCATTCATTGTTTGGCTTCTTTACTAAGACTACTGGACTGTGCCATGGAGAATTACTTTCTTCAATGACTCCTGAATCTTCCATTTCTTTAATGAGTTTCTGTAGAATTTTTCTTTTCTCTGGTGGTTGTCTATAAGGACCTGAACTGATTGGTTTAGAGTTTCCGGTATCAATAATGTGTTCATGCAGATTTGTCTCCCCTAGTTCTGATAAATCTTTTGCGAAGATGTCACGATTTTGTCCGAGAAATTTATATAATTTTTGCTTTTGTTCATTGCTAAGTTCATGGTTGTCAATGTCTATTCCTAAATCTTTCACTAATGTTTCATAATTTAAAGTTTGATTTGATTCTGTAGCACTTAAGTTGGAAATGTTTGCTGAATTTTGTTCTTTGAGCACTGATATTGATTTTGGATTGTCTATCACAGAAACTTTTGCTATTCTTTGTCTTGCAGTTAAAAATACTGGAACACTGGTTGGATTGATAAGTCTATAAACACTTTTAGA